AATTTTACATAGATAATTACTAAGGAAACCTTTTATCTACCCTCTCGTTTTTTTGACACTTTTGTGTAGCAGAAATATTTGGAACTAAAAACAGAATTTAAAACATAGTAAATGTAATAGCCCATCAAACTATACTACCCAGTTGTATATTAGAATCAAACCAACGTTGCAGGCATGAAACTGTGGCAAATACATTAATTCAAAAATATATCCAGTTGGAGATTCTCATAAAATATTTTGACATTTACTTAATTGCAAAAAGTAAGTGAAAATAGTATTAGCACAAGTGCCATGTATCGCACCATTTGGGGGACGGATGCTGAGCAGAATGCCTGGGCAGATTCTAAAGTCAATGCTCTGGAGATAAGGGGAGGGACAGGGCCGGATGAGCAACCACTTACAGAAGCAGAAGCATGTGTGGGGACGTGGATTCTGAGATGTGACCCTTCCTTTGGATTTCCAAAAAGGGGTGGGGGGGAATACAAATAAGACAGAGTAAAATTGCAGAAGAGAAGCAATTGTTGACTTCCTTTTATAGCAATAATAGGCATTTCTGTTTACGTGTGAATGAAAACTACCAAACAAAATCTTATAATTACATGTAGGCAGTCAAGGTTAAATTATTTAAACTTTGTGTGTATGTGGGGAGGGGGTGGGCACTATATCACTGTTCCCAATTGGCTGGACATCACCATGAGACTTTGTCAAGAACCATAAACTAAAAGCAAAAGGTATTGCCCGGCCAGTGTGGCTCAGTGGTTGAGTGTTTCCCAGTGAGCCAGGAGGTCACGGTTCCATTCTGGACCAGGGCACATGCCTGGGCTGCAGGCTTGACTTCCAGTAGGGGGCGCACTGGGGGCTTGATCCAGAATCAATGATTCCCTTTCATCATTGGTATTTCTCTCTCCCCTTCTCCCGTCCTTTCTCTGAAATCAATAAAAACATACTTTTTAAAAAATTAGAGTCATAGTCCTTTACTCCTTGGATCTGGGAGTAGGAGGTTTTGGGGTAGCAAATGGGGACTACAAACGTAAGAAGGTAAAACATGTAATCCAATAAAAAGGGAACACTGAAAGTATTGAAATGTCTAATATTACTAAGCTTTTTTCCAGCTACAGGTCGTACTCTAGACACAACGAATAAAGCTATATATTTTATTAGCCCCAAATGCAATTAGTCAAGTCATAGTGTAAATGGGAGTTCATCCTCTGTTTCAGGTAGTTTCAGTTAACAGACCACTTAATGGGTCGATTTAAAGGATTTTAACACATCTAACAAAGCACATTAACATTAGCTGCTTTCACATAAAAAAGTTTGCACTCAAAAAAAAAAGTTTTTACTGCTTCCCATTTTAATTCACAGTACTTTCTAATTTCCGCTGGTATAAATCAATTTAGATTTATTAGCTTTGTACAAAAGAACTCCAGTAGGTTTTTAATAATAATTATCGTTATCACTGATTAAAGTTATATTGTTCAGGCCAGATGGAGTCCCTTTCCTGTCAGCTAGAATGAGCTTGATTATGTAGTTATAATGTGTTTAGATCTAAATAAACAGATGGCCGAGTGACAGGATATTATAGGCTGTTGATGTCAGCAGCAGCGCTTCACAAACAGAATTGCTTTAAATAAACTCTGTTATGGCAAGGATCCTGACACTTTTAAGAAGGTGACTGGAGCTGAGCCTGAGTGTTATATTAACTTGAAAACAGTACTGGTCACCGGCAGAAGGGTAGACCAGTAGGATGGTCTGAGGTTCAGCCAGAGAGTGTATCTGCTGAACTTGTTTCTTAACTGTGAAAACATGTAACTTAATACATTTACTCAGTCAGTCTCATAAGGAGAGAGGAGAGAGAGAAAGAGAGAGAAAGAGAGATGCTGCCCAGGTGGAAGAACTTTCAAGTTGAAGAGTTAAAAACTGTGTGTCAAGAAAAGATGAAAACATTTAATAGAGCCCTATTCCCTAATTTTTGCAACATATTATAATAAATGTCTTACCTAGGCATACACGCATTTGCAATTCATATTATAAAATTAACAGAGAAGGTTTAGTAAGGATGCTATAGCAAAGCTTTCATCGTTAATAGTTTTAATGTCTACTTTTCTTTGTAAACATAAGCCCCTTCCATATCCCTGTGCCCACAAAAATGTAGAGTGAGCCTATAAAATTCAGAAACAAGCTTCAAAGAAAATCATTATGCATAATTTCTTTAGCTAATGTTCTTTTGTTGAGACCTTATGGGAGTTTCTCTGTGGGACAACTGTATTTTCTGAGGCAAATAGCCATGGTAGCATAGTCTTTAAGAGGAAGACACCACTGCAGCAGATAAAGGCTGGTATTTGAAAATGAAAGTAGTAACAATAATAATTTTAGAGGGTGATATGAAATAATGGAAATTACACTTTCTAAAAGATTTTAGCTATCTTATTGCTTGAAATTTTTTTATAAAGATATTGGTTTGCACATTGGCCGTATAGAGAGACGGATGAAAGAGGCAGGCAGCTCTAGATTGGTAGGTGGCAGGTTTAATAAGCAAGGGAACTGACACATGAAGCTTGTCTTAGATGGCCACAAGATGAGTAGACTCCCACCGCCTACCCCCACTAGAATCTTCAAAGTTTGCATAGAGGCCTTCACTGGGTTCAGTCATGTATTCAGTCCAGATGGTTTCAACAACGCCTTATTCTCTCAAGGTAACACCCTTGAAACAGCTGCTAGTTTGGAAATAGTCAGGATGTACATTCCAAGGACAGGGGAGAGGTGAGGGTCCTCCCGTCGCCCAGGTCCAGGTCAAGGTTCATCTGATGGTCAAGGACTCTTCATGACTTCCTACAATTAAAGATCATCTAAATTATATATACAATATTTTATTCTGATGGTTTGTTATGTGTTTATAAGAACATTCTTGTTTTCACAGACTTCAACTTCTTAACTATTGATTGATCCTTAGTAACTATTGGTATCAGTAAGCTACGAACTGTAGAAATTATATCAAATACAATAGGTCGTAAGCATAAAACTGTTCAGTAATCAAAGTAAAACTTCTTTAATGTAAATATTTACTTATTACTAGCTGGTAAAATGTACAAATTCATTTATTTCCTTTTTTATAAAATGATGAGAGGATTTTGAATATGAAGAGATTGTATTTCACTTCCCATGTATTTGACATTCAGGTTTTGTCACTTAGGCAGGCATTTTATGAGCTATGTTTCAACTCAAGTATGACATAAATATCCTCATAAAGGAGCAAGACCATTTCCTTGGAGAGATGCTCACAGTCGAAGAGTGAAAGATTATAAGCTGCATGTGATTTTTTCTCTTCTACAGGTGGACGTTGCCACAAGTCCTGTACTGGCCGATGCTGGGGACCCACAGAAAATCATTGCCAGACCTGTAAGTGCTCACCTGTTAGAAAACATTGGCTTGAAATGGTCAAATAATTTTAACAATGGATTATTTTCAGACTTCTTTTGATAAGAAACATGAAAATGAGCTTTTGCTTCCTGGTGGTGTCTGTATCCATCCCTGCCCATTTTTCACTCAAATGTTAGCATGCCTTGTGTGCTGTAATGCACCCTGATTTTTTCACTTCATGCATATGTGCATGAGTTTACTTGTGGCATTAATTCCTAGAAGTGGTAATTGCAGGTTCAAAGATACATGTATAAGAAATTTGTTGCTAGAGATCACGGTCTCTATAAATTTTGTAACTATCCTTCTACCAGGAGCAATGTCTGATGAGTGCTTCTTTTCCTGTTCCCTGGGCAAAGCAGTGTATTATCAAATCTGAGTCTTTGACAAAGGGTTAGAAGAAACGTAGCATCTCAGTGTAGACTTACATTAACTTACTTCATAGACACAATTTTTTAGGGCAGCAACGTTTTGACAAGGATTTTAAGCAGGATTCCAAAGTAAGATTAGATTACTGTTTGAAATATGTATAAGAACTATACTATCTGTAGACATTGTTTCAATAGCATCCTACCAAGGCACAGGAGAGCCTGATTCCACTCTCACGAAACAAAGAATAATTACTCAGAACAAAATGTTAATAGCACTGAAGTTTAAGAAATCCTATACTAAGAGCAGATTTTGATTCAGGCTAGGCCAATCCGATTCTCTCCCCAGAGAATTTGAATTTGGGATTGAGATGCTGTGGCACTACTTTAGAAACTTGAAGAGTTATTAAACCTAGTAGATATTTCCATTTTGAACCAGTGTGTTAATGAGAAGCAGAAATGGCCAGTCCTCAATGACTCAGAATAAAAAAATAAAAATAGAGAATAAATCAGCCATATAGAGGCTAAGGAGTATCGGAGTGAGAGAGAAACAGTGTTGCCAGTTCCTGCCTCTGAGTTCTCTGGCCTTCATGAGGTCCAGCTGTGCTCTATCCTTGATCTCTTAAGAAAAACAATGTTTGTCTAGTATATTTAAATGAGTTTCATTACTTGCCACCAAGTGGGGATGAGAGGGAATCTTGACTAAGAAAATCATCCCACCATAGCTCATGTATCAAATCATCAGCCAAGAGGTCATTCAATTCACCTAATTTTTCAGCATAGAAATTGCGTCAACTACAATAACCTAAAATTGGCTTACTGGGCACTGTGCCTACTCCACAGAACTGAGCAAATTTAAATTCAATAAATACATTGACATGTATTTGATATGTTCAAGTCCTCATTTTAGAGTAGTATCCATTCACATAGATCTGTGTGGTTTATAAAACATTTTCATTTTAAAATTTATTTTCATAATAGTCTTGTGAGTTAAAGAGAACAGTTATCATTAACCTCTTTTTACAACTGGGGAAATATAAGCTGAGGAAATGATTCAGAGAGCTGTTAAATTTACACATCTAGTACCTGGGATTTCAACCTAATTGTCCTGAGCCTAAAGACAACACTGTGCTCTGTGTACCATATTGTATAGTACAACTTAGTGGGCGAGGGCATTAGATTCAAAATGAGCCAGATGAAACAAATCCCAGTTGTTTCCACTTGCTAGCATGAGAAAGTGACTTAACTTTTTAAAATCTCAGTTATCTAATCTATAAAATAGAAATAATTACACTTACCTCAGAAGGTTGCTCTATTAGAATCAAGTTCAATACCATAATGTAGTTGTAATGCTTAAATATTTTTTGGCATATACTAAGGACCTAATGAAGAATAGCTAATATTATAATAAACTAAAGGAGATGCTCTTAGAAAACATAATCCTTCTTAAGTCTGAATGAATGCAAAACTCCTGTAGCCCAGTTCCACCTTGTGAAGGCTCCTGACCATGGGTGCCTGGGGAACTAGAAAGGAAAGACCTGGACTGAAGTGGAGGCTGCTTGCCCTTGACATTCACTCCTGTTGTCTCTCATTTGAGCTACCCAAAAGGTAAATTGCTTGTTCATATTTAAAGAGCCCAACATCCTGAGGCAAAATGTATTTTGGAAGTACTCAAAGATGTATGTACTTGTTGTAGGACCTGAATTTTAGAAATATGATCATATTTTTTTTAGAATTAGATCTCATGAGAGATTCCATAGAGATACCATAAAGATATACATACATGATGAAAATATTTAATGTAAAATTATCCAGGCTTCTTTTAGATTTCTGATGGTCTTTCAATTAGTTAAAATATATGACTTCCCCTTAGACCCCCTTGAGATGCACTTACCTCTGAATCCTGACTGAACATTTTAAAATCAGAAAGCATACATTGTGCAGGTTTTTGAAAATATTGTGCTCTTGTTGATTGACCACTCAAAAGCACATTGTAAAATCTGAAAGACAGAGTCTTATATTGTTTAGAAATTCTTTCTTTCTTTATGACTGCAATAAATTTGAGGGCTTCTCTGGGAGTATTCAACACCATCATTTTTCAAGTTTTTTCTTATTTTTTACAAATAATTATTCTTTGAGACTCTTCATGCATTAGGGGAAAAAGGTAAAGGTATTTAAAATCCCCACATCTCAGATGTTAAGAATCATTTTCATTCACCACATCATATCAATGCTGACATCTCCCCACAGGAGTCTCCTCCTAAAACAGCGAATGTGTCAGGAATTATCCTCAATAAGACTAAAAAGTGACAAGTGGGAGTAAAGAGAAATGATTCAGGCTCTGGGAGAACTAGTCCAAGATAATGAATGACTTGTAAGGGTGAAATGAAACAGTGGCAATCAGAGAGCCATCTCTGAATAGAGATATGGGAAAACAGGAATGCTGGTAACAATGGTAAGCTTGAAGGGAGGTCTGCAAGGGGCAGCAGTTGGTTTGTTTAAATTTTATTTTTTAATTACAGTTTACAATCAGTACTATTTTGCATTAGTTTCAGGTATGTGCCCTACATTCCCATGACTGTCTTGTGACCCCCAATTTGTACTTTTTAATCCCTTCACCCTTTTCAGCAATTCCCTTAAACCCCCCCTCCCCTCTGGCAATCATCAGTCTGCTCTCTTTATTTATGAGTCTATTTTTATTTTGTTTATTTTCCTTTTTAGATTCTACATATAAGTGAAATTATATGGATAAATCAAGAGGGCATTATGCCAAACAAAATAGAGAAAGGGGCAGAACTTTTAAAGGAAAAATGAGAATGAGGCTTTGTTTTTTTGTTTCTTAATAGATGTAGTGAAATGGAAGGAGAGTGTATATAGATTGACAGCTTACTGTGGACATCAACTGATGAATACCTATAGGAATTTTAGTAAATTAAAAAAAAAATTGTTAAATTTAGTAGCATTTTGAGACTTATTTTACGTACTGGTTTGTGTATTATATCTAGCTTTGATTGCATGTTGAATAATTTAAGCGTATAGCTTTCACTAATGTTCAGGCTTTGACCTGCAGAACCAGCATCTATTTTTAAATATTTCTTTAAGGTATAAATTATTTTTATAAACAAATTTCTGAAGGAAAAACCTTAGACGATGGAAATAATTTATAAATATTAAAGTAAGTAGACAGTGCTTATAGAATCTAGCCAAGTGTTCCATTCTTACTGTTTTACTTGGTGATTCTGATTTTCTAAAGTGATTAGAATTCATTCTTCTTTAATTCTTTTTGATGTTACAGCATCATGACCCTATAAACCTAACAGGAACGTTTCCCACATAGTTTTAATGGATCAACATAGAACCCATGATTGGATGCTGAGAGCGGCATTACATGTGGAGAAGTGACTCAGACTTGAAAGTACTTTTAAGCTCAGTTAAATCGTGGCCGCCTTACTGCACAACACAGCTTACCCTTAAGTAAATTGATTCGGTGGATTAATGTAGTCCTGTCAGGGGAGACAAACTTATCTGCTATGTAAAGTCTGAAGCTTACACAATATTACTTAGCAGGCTTACTGGTAAGAATGACAACTCTCTCCAGTCCTAGGAACTGAGTCCTCAGGTCTGAGCTACGTAGGTTTAGGTGTGAGAGAGACTAAGCTTTAAGACATAAATAATAACGATTAAAAGAACAAAGTTATCTGTGTCCCTGCAAGATACATAAAGCACATTTATCTCATTTAAAATAGATACCGCAAAAGTCCCTTTTTATCTTTGAACACAGTATCGGGTCAGTTCTCTCCAGTCACCTATTACTAGGCAGCGTGAATGTTTCATTTTATACATTCCTTGTGTCTCCTAGACCCGCTGTCATCTCAGTTAGACACTGCTTTTTTTTTTTTAATTTTTGTAGTATGACAATATATCAAAATATTAGAGTTTGATTCCCCTAATCCTTTCGTACATTTTGCATAAAAGTAGTTATAATTCTCTTCAGCTGCTGGTTATATAACTAAAATATGCTCAACTGATTACCACTTGATATTCTCTTCAGTCTTCTAAGTTGTTTTACATATGACATTTCTTGCTTAGAGACTAATTGAAAATGTAAGTGGGTTTGACAATAGTATGTTTCAACTACTCTGACCATTGAAATGTCTAAGAAATTGATTAAAGCTATTCTATTATTTTAACCAAAGGAAAACTTCTAGTGGAATTCACCCTTTATTCTACAGTATTGTTTCTAGCTAGGTTATCTCAAAATCTTTTTTTTTTTTTAATTAAAAATAGAACAGCAATAAAATTAATACAAGCAGTGTATTTGTTCTATTGTAGGTAATTGTGAATGGAGCACTTTACTGTACTGGCAAAGTAAAAACGTGTTCCAAACAATAGTGTATGTTACTTATTGTTTCTATGCAGATGCTATAGGAAAATTTAGAAATTATTTAGCAACTTCCTCAGGAATTTATTATATTTATGTACAATTAAAATTAGTTTCAGTAGTTGTAATATATTAAATCTTTTAGTTTAATAACAGAAAAATAATCAAAAACAAACAAAATAAAATAAAATAAAAAACACCTTGGCCTGGCTATGGATTTCATTTACTACTAG